GCTGCTGTTGAGTTTGCCACTGGCCACCCTGTCAGTCTCTTTTGTTCTGGTTTGTTATTCTGGTTTCTCTTCTAAGTCTTTTGCTGGCAGTGCTGGCAGCACTGCATCCCATTCCTTTGTGGCCTCACAGGCCCTCGGGGGCCCCACAGCTCTGCACCACATGCTGCTCCTCCTCCCATGCCAAGGGCTCCATGGACTCCCCATGCACATCTGGGTGTGAGGCTGGGCTGTCCATAGGGATATCAGGGCCCCAGGTGTCCCAGAGCCAAGGCACCAGCAGCCATTGGCCCAGCTGGTAGCGCAGCAGCTTGGTGGCTATGGTGCCAGGTGCAGCAGATTACCAGCTCTGTACAGAAGCCTCCGTGTGTGACACCCTCAAGGAATACTTTTATTCTTAATTTCTTCTTTGACCCACACATCATTCAGGAGTGTATTCTTTAATCTCCATGAGTTCAAGTAGTAACTAGAGCTTCTTCCAGTGTTGATTTTAAGCTTTATTGGGCTGTGGTCTGATAGAATGCATAGAATTATTTCAATTCTTTTGTATTTGTTGAGGTTTGTTTTGTGATCCAACATGTGGTCAGTTTTAGAGAAAGTTCTATGGGATGCTGAATAGAAAGTGTATTTCTTGGTTCTTGGTTGGAATATATGGATGATGTCTGTTAGATCCATTTGATGTATGGTACCATTTAATTCAGATGTCTTTCTGTTTATTCCTTGACAGTTGACCTGTCTAATGGAGGCAGTGGAGTATTGAAGTCCTCTACTATTACTGAGATTGGGTTAATCTATGTTTTAAAGTCCTGTAGTGATTTTTTTTTAATGAATTTGAATGCACCAGAGTTTGGTGCATATATGTTCATGATTGTAATATCTTCTTGGTAATTGTTTCTTTGATCAGAATGAAGTGACCTCTTTATCTCTTCTGATTAGTTTTAGTTTGAAGTCTATTTTTTCAGATATTAGAATTGCAACCCCTGCTTGCTTCTTAGGGCCATCTGATTGAAATATTCTTTTCCATCCTCTCACCTTAAAGTAGTGCCTGTCCTTGAAGGTCAGATGTGTTTCTTGCAAACACGAAGATGGATTTTGTTTCTTAATCCATTCAACTAGCCTGTGTCATTTGACTGAGGAGTTCAGCCCATTGATATTTAAAATTATTGAAAGATGTGTATTGGTTGGCATCATTTTGATTAGTTTGCATTCTTTTTCTAAATTTTTGTTTCCACAATTATACCTTCATTTAAGTTCTTTCTGTTGCCCCTGGAGTATAGTTGTTCCTTTCTCAATTCTTTGTATTGCTTCAAGTATTCTTTGAAGGGCTGGGTTTGTGGACATGTATTCTTTCAAGCTATTTGTGTCACGGGAGATTTTTCTTTCCCTTTCAACTATAATAGACATTTTTGCTGGGTAAAGTATTTTGTGTTGGCATCTATGGTTATTTAAAACTAGAAATAAATACCTTGGTCAAGGCTCTTCTGACTTTCATAGTTTTCATTGATAAGTTGGCTGTAATTCTAAGTGGGTTTTCCTTTATATGTTGGTTGTTTTTCTTTTGCAGCTTTCAGTATTCTTTCTTTGTTCTGTACCTTTAGTGTTTTTACTATGATATGCCATGGGGAGTTTCTTTTTCTGGTCCTGTCTATATGGAGTTTTATGTGCTTCTTGTATTTGTATGGGAATATCTTTCCTTAATTTGGGGACATTCTCTTCTACAATCCTGTTTAAGATCTGGTCAATATCATTTAATCTGAAATTATCCTCCTTCCTCTATGCTTGTGATATATAGATTTGGTCTTTTCATGGTATCACCCATCTCCTGCATATTCTATTCCTGTGGGATTTTTTTTTCATACTCTGCTTGAGAAGTCCAATTCTTCAAATTTATCCCCTGGTGTTGATATTCTGTTTTCCATTTCATTCATTCTAGTAGTGAGGCTTTCCCCTGTTGTTTCAAGTTGTCATATTGAGTTTTTCACTTTGTTCTTCATTTCAGCCTGAGTTGTCTTCAATGTTTCTATCTCTTTTGTGAATTCAGTCTGATTCCTATCTTCTTGTAATTCTTTGATTTGTTTGTTTGTGTGTTCTTTAAATTCATTGAATTCCTTGATCATGTTTATGATTGTTCTTTTAAATATTGTGTCCTGGGTTATCTCTAGGGGCTTCTCCTTGTAGAATTCTTCCATAGGACTGGTGGGGTTTGGTGGAAACATGCTCTTTTGATTTTCCCTGTTTTTATTTTTCTATTGCAATTTTGTCATGTGGATTTCTTTTTTGTTGGTGGTTCTGGTATGAAACTCAAGCCTTCTTTTGTTGAGATGTAGTTTGCTTCTGTTTGTATTATTGGTGTGTCTTGGTTGTTTTTTTATTGGGTATATAAAGCTGGTTCATCTAGGTTTCAAGTTCTCTCTGATTTTATTTTGGAGGGAACTGATGGCTTCAGATTAGCTACTCAGGAGCTCCCACAGAGGCTCAAGTTAGGCTCCAGTCAGGTACACTCAGGCTTCCATCTAATCTCTGGACACCTATTAGCAGGCACTCACAGCACAATTTTGGAAGTTCACTAAGGGGAGGCCCAATTTTGGTACTCTCAGGTGGTCAGCTGAGTTCTCAGCCCCTACACCAGGCAGAGGCCAAATTAGGCACTCTTAGGCCTTCTGTGAAGATCTCAACTCCACCCCAATGTAGGACATCAAATTGGTCGGGCCTGAGAGAGAGTTTATATGTGCTTCAGATGGCAGAGATGGAGAAGTTGTGCTATCCAAAGCTGTTGGAGCCCAGATGATTCCATCATGAACTCCAGATGCTGGATATGAAGCTGTAGGATTTAGTGTTTGCCTTTGCAGTCTTTGTTCTAGGTTTGGACTTATACCTTCTTATTGTTTTAGAATGGGAAGGTTTCTTTTGTACCATGTTAGATGGCAAGTATGTAAGTTGTTTTTATTTATTTTACAGGGTATCACATCTAAGAGATTGCCATATTTTCACTGGAGACTTTGTACTTAAACTTTTCTGCAATGGTGGGACCATTAAAAATTTGAGAACACTTAAAAATGAGCTAAATGAAACTTACTCATGAGATGGCCATACATTTTTGAGGCCCAAGTGTGATGTTATATTTTAAAATTATGTGTTGAGTCACCAGGTTGACAGGGCAGATACTTGTGATCAAATATTTCATTATCAACTTGACTGAAAGACACAACTTCGGCCATATCTCTGAGATTGTTTTGAGAGAAATTCAACTGAGAAGGGAAGACTTTGAGTGTAGGTGACACCATTCCATGGGCTGGGTCCAGACTAAGTATAGAGGGAAGAAATAAAAAAGAGTGATTATCCCTCACTCTGTAGCCATAACCTGCCAATAGCTCATCAGTAAGGGGTGGGGCCTAGAGGTCCTGCTTCCCCAATCTATGTCGGAATTTGGTCTATCTTGATCATGTGCAAGTCTTGCCCCCGCCTGCGGGGACCCTGTACAGGTAAAGCTCGAGGGGGACCACTCCCTGAAAGGAAAAACGGGCGAGAAAGAGTAGACGGAGCCCAAGCAAGTCCACTTGTCAAGGGTTCACTTTATTGAACTGTAAGCTTTCCTTATATACAGTTTGTATTTAGAAGGGGTTGAAGAAGTTGGTCAAAGGTTACAGCATTCTTATGGGTATGGGGTGGGGGACTGAGCAATTCAGCAATGTGACTGACCACCAGGTGTTCCAAGAGATTACTGCATGACTTATCTTTTCCGAGAACTGTTTGCAAGGGGAAGAGAAAGATAACCTTGCCATAAATTCTTTCTCAAGGTTACTAGTGCAGGCAGAATGTCCTGCTTAAGTCAACTGTTTGTAGAGCCATATTATATTTTTTGGTAATGAATGTTGTTTCTCCAGCTCCCGACAAGTCTTGTGCACATAACCACAGCTTCTGTGAGTTTATGTGTGCCATAATCAGGCCATGTCTAGAAGAAAGCATTTTACAGCATTCCTCTGCAACATTTCACTATTACATTATTTCTCCCTCCTTTTCTAAGATGTTACCTGAGCCTTGGTTGGGGGAGGAGTTGATAAAGATATCCAATTTAGGGTTGAGCACTCAATTTTTTACCCTCAGTACATTCACTAATTATGCATCTCTGCATTGACTGCAGCACACTGCAAAATAAAGCTGTTCTGAGGAAGACTGAGAGCAGCCCAGGTCTGCAGACATAAACACAAATACTTTGAGGGAAATTTGGTAACGTGACCATTTAGCAAAGTAACAATAGCACTTCTACCCTACAGCCTATGACCTTATATGTAAGACAGCTACTTATCTCGAATACCACTGTTTTAAAATAAAGCCTTTGGGGTAGGAGAGATAGCTCAGCAGTTAAGAGAAACCAAGTTCTGTTTCTAGCACCATTCAGGGAGCCTAGAACCACCAGTAACTCCACAGTATCTGACACCCTTTTCTGGTCAACATAGACACCCACACATGCATGGCAGTATACATACACATACTTTAAAATATATATCTTGTTTGTTTTCTATAAGATTGTATTTAATCTCAATATTGAGCTTCCACTGATTACAGAGACTTGAATAATGTTTTAAAATAAACTCAAAAAAGCCAAAGTTTACATTCTTCCCTTTCTCCTGACTCTCTTGTTTCAGAGAACTAATTTCATCCAGTACTCCTGGCTTCCATCTTGATACTGCAGCAGGTAACTGGGCAGTGGGGAGTAAGATACATTTCCTACTTAATTACAGCTCATTTCCAGTGGCATACTGTTTTTTGTTGGTGGTGGTGTTGGTTTTTGGTTTTGTTCTGCAGGCAGAACAGAGAGCAAACTGATGTTGTAAGAGAGGGTGAGAGGGCACACGGTCTCTCAGATTTGCAGAGTTCACTCCCAGGACAACACATCCAGGGACAGGAACTTGATGCTGATGTTCCTGCTTAATAAGAAAAGAGCAAGGTCCACAGTACTAATTTCAGTTTAAACTTTTCTGTAAAACATTTACCAAATCAGAGTGAATACTGCATTTCTGAAAAACTGTGCTGTTCATTCTTTCCTCATAGGAGGCCCTCTGTGTGGATACGGATTTACAGGTAAGGGTTCATCTTATGACACAGATGATCCCCTACTCCTTCCCTCAAAGTGATGGGAAAAATCAAATGTTGCGGTTCTGGATAAGAAACAGTAATCTTTCTATGGATGGCTCTATCACGGAAAGGAAGTTTATTCAAATTGAGATATATACCAAGGGAAAGATTGTTGGGAGAGATGACAGATTTTCATTTTAAATAGATACATATTACAGAGAGATTGTAGAAGGTGTTTAGTACATCCAGTTAGCAACAGTTTCAAAGAAGTATTAATTAAAATTATTCAGAAAAAGAGAGCTAGCTTCAAAGATTTTAATCCACAATGTTCAGATAATAAAGTAATTTCTAAAATCTTGATTTCATTTATAGATATATTTTTATATTCTGTATTCTGTATTTATATTCTGTATTCTTATATTCTGTATTTGCACACTGAGTGTGCAAATCTAATCAAGTGTGCATAATCTAATCAAGGCCTGCATGCTATTTGAATTTCTATTATTTCCTTTTAATTTAACACTCCTCCACTTGTGTGTATCATAATTTTAATGTTAGTAGCTCCATAACATGTAGACAGTCTATGAGATCATAATTGAAAATATCCTAGTGTTGGACTGTGTAGTGCTTTGTCCTGTTTGTTAATGTTCTCATAAAACACTTCTTAGAATTCAGTTTTTCTGAATTGTTCTACTTGGATACATTTTGAATAGTACAAAAGATTCTGTCTGAAGAGTCCAAAGTCCACAGTGAACTGTCCATTAACAATGCTATAACCCTCCATTTGTGAAGCATCTTCAGGTTTCAATCTATCCTATTAATTGAACATCATGCTTTTGTTGTATTTATATATTATTTATTTGCTTGTAAATGTGCCCTTCATGTTTGTCAAGGAGTCACTTGCTATTAGTTTGCAGGTATTATAATATCTGTGTCTTTGTATAAATATTATTTTGTCTCTTGTGTTCTTGAAACAGTCTCAAAATTTTTTCAGGTGCCTGGAGAGATAGCTGAATGGTGACAAGCACTAGCTGCTCATGCAAATACCATAAATTCAGTTCCCAGGATCCACATGCCATCCAATAACCATCCATAACTTAAATTTCAGGGGACCAATGTTATCTTCTGACCTCTAAAGCATACTTACATATGTGCAGGGAATTAACTCATACACATAAATTAAATTAACAGTTTAAAAAATGTTTCTGGAGGAAAGGTCGATTGCCTATATGGATATGAAACTTGCCCTACATTCTCTAGGCAATTAGAATAAATATATGGCTCTTACAATCTTTCCACCCCCTCATTCACAATGATCCCTGAACCTTGGGTGTCAAGTGTTTAAATTAGGATTCCTATCAAGGATCCACACTCTAGTCTATTTTTCTCTAAATTTGGGGAAGTTGTGGTTTTCTCTGTTAATCACCATCTGTTCCATGAGGAAGCCTAGCAGGTCAGAGTTGAGAAATGCATTAAAACTCCTCTTCCCCCTGTTCCACTATGTTCCCTGAGCCTTAGGTGTAGAAGTTGTGTTATAGATGTGTCACTTAGTGTTGGGCATCTCACAGACACTTATTCTCTGTGTGAAACCAGTTGTGGAATTCTGTAATAGTCTCCATCTGTTACAAAACAAAACTTCTTTGATGAGTGGTGAGAGATGTACATGTCTGTAAACATAAGGATACATGTTTAGCATACATTAAGAAATTGTGTTTGTCTAGGGATATGACAAATGTAAGTTTTTCTCTAGGATCTATGACTTCTCCAGGAACGTGTATTTGGGTATATTTATAGTAACACACATGAGTCCCTCCCACTGAGCAGGCCTTAAGTCCAATTAAATACCTGTTGATTATCCCTGCAAATAAACATGTCACTACTGCACCAATAGAGATAGTTTGCTACACTAATAATTGTAGTGATTTTAAGCTTTGCAGCTGGGTAGGACCATTGACAGGTTTCTCCCTTAGCAGCTTGCATAACATCTGCTGATACTTGAGAGCTATGCTTCAGAGTGGAGGTTTCCAGGGAAGTTCCAGCTCCTTTACCCCAAACCCTCTGTCCAAAGTACATCCTGTCTTCAGCAAAATAGTCTCACCTTCAAGTTCTGGGAAGCAATCAAGGGCTGTGGAAATAGCCTGAGTTATTGTGTTATTTGGGGGAATCTCTTGGACTTCCATGATCCACAACTCAAAGAGAGCCTTGTCCTGTCTGGCATGTGTTTCTTGTTATGTAGACTTCAGGTATACATATGCACATAGAAAAATTCACATATGTGTGTGTGTGAATTTTTTCAGTAGGCATTTGCACTAATACACTTTCCTCTTGTTTTTCATACTACCTAAGCATTATTTATCTCTGCTCATCTCTCCTCTCTCTCTCCCTCTATACAACCCTTCCTTCTCCCTCACCAGAAAAAGTACCCCAGTTTTCCCCCATTTCCCCTTGATAAGGCCTGTCTCCTACTATCCCCCCTCTAGATATTCCCTGCTCAGGTAATTGTTACAGGGGAGATGCCCTGAGATGTTCCAGGTCCAGATAACTCTACCCCAGAACCAAAGTCCCACAATGACTGCTGCATCATGACCCTGACTCCAAAACTGATTGAATAGTAATTCTGGGCCTCCTAGGAGTTAAGTTCTGATATTCCTGGGGTGGAGCTCCATTCTGGTCTAGTCTAAGTCAGGTCTGGTTTTAAATAATGAGAGTGTGATTCTGATGAGGACCCTCCCGTACTCTTTCCAAATAGTCAAGACGTTGGCTGAGAAGGTCTGGCAACCTGGTGCATCCTTGGAAACTGGTTACTCTGGTCCCTGTTCTTGTCTTGTATGAATAACGGGATGACCAAATGAGTTACTGAAAGTTGGATGAAGCGAATTCTGATCTGGGCACTGCCTGACCAGAGGGTCCTGGCTTTTGGCTTGTCTATTGTGAAACGAGAGTACAACATTGTTTGCTCTGACTGCTGCCCTGTGACTTCTCCACTTTCTTTCCTCCTGGATTCTCATTGAGGATGAGGGAGCCAGCCTGCTCTACCAGATTATCAGGTCTGGTAAACTCCATGTTGCTACCTTCTGCTGCTGCCTTCTCTCGTCTGTCACAGAAGCTGACAGGCATACTGAGGAGACCCTTCCCATTGCCAGGGTACTCCCTCTTCCCCTGGCAGGGGCTGTTTGTGCAGACTCATCATTTCTCCTTCCAGCAGGCTCTTTCTCTCCCTTGTGTAACCCACTGTGATCTTTTTCCTGAAGTAGCAAGGCCCCTCTACTCACCCATGGCTGGGAAACCAGGCCTTAAAACAGAAATAGAGGAATTGGATTTCCATTTTCCAAACATAAAAAGTCTCTAACCCAAGTTCTAAATACACATTTTTAACGATAAAGCCCAGGGGATTCCTAAAGGCATCCTTACTGAAGCCTCTGAGATCCTAGCAAAGGCCTGTAGCATACTCATATAAGCCTCTAGACCCAGTATCTTCAAGATGGCCCTCCTGGCAGTTACTGCACCACCGATGAAGGAGGCTGACAAGATCACTTTGGGCCAAGACTTAACCCTTACAGCCCTCCATGCAGTGGAAACCTTCCTCTGGGGAAGAAATGGCCAGTGAATGTCAAATGCCTGCATCACTTAGTACCAGAGACTGCTGCTTGATTAGCCCCACCTCACCTTCACTCTGAGGTGCCCCTACATGACTGTGATCTACTGGACAACTCCAAAGTCAGTTGCCCAAACCTCTGAGACACAGCTTTACCTGAGGTCAACTTGTTCACAGGTGGAAGATAAAAAGGACTAGGAAGGATGGAGCTACTATAACCATCCAACTGAATGTCATCTGGGTCCAAACCCTGCCCTAGGGAAACTGCATAAAATACTAAACTGGACTGGAGACATGGCTCAGCGGTTAAGAGCACTGACTGCTCTTGCAGAGGACCTGGGTTCAATTCCCAGCACCCACATGGTGGCTACAAACCGTCCTTAACTCCAGTTCCAGGAGAATCCGAAACCCTCTTCTGACCTCTGTGGCATTGCGTGATACCAGTGCACTCACATACATGCAGGCAATACACTCGTACACATAAAAATAAAAATAAAATAGTTTTAAAAAAAGACTAAACATAACCTTCAGCCAGGCTCTATGTTGGGGAAAGGACAGAAGGGTGAACATCTTTACAGATAGCAGATATGCCTTTGTTACCCTTTCATGTCCACATCATGATATACAAGAAAATAGGACTCTGACACTCCCATGGCAGAAGGCCAAGATGCCCAGCGGGTTTCCACACTGCCTCTTGAGCCACTCCCACTCTCATGAAAGGAAACAATGCAGTGGGATTATGGACCCTGCCAGATTTCACAATCATCCTTCCTGAAGCCTTTGGATACCTCTTTGGAGATGAACATCATCAGACAAACCACCTGGGTATCACCAATCTGACTGAACTACTTTCTGGTATTTGTGGACACATTCTCCAGTTGAATGGAGGCCTTTCTCTGATGATGGTGAAAAGCCTTCTTTGTGAGATAATTCCTAGGTTTGGGCTGCCTCTGACAATTGGCACAGATAATGCTAAATTCATCTTACAAATCAATGAAAACTGACCCAAACTCCTGCCCCTGGTCATCCTCCAGGATAGATGTATCCTCTGTAATGTGGGTTAGATTATGTTCAGAAGCTTCCTCAGCTACTGCCTAGATTAAGGGACCCTGTTATGAAAAATGACTGATCAGTCTTAAAGTATACCCAATCTCTACAAAAGTCCAGGCTGTAGTCCACTTTAAAATCTGAAACATTCTCCTAGTTCCCTCCTCTGCTCCTTGCCATCCATTCCATCCCAGGGATTTATATTCATGAAAAAGTTCCAAAAGGAGAGAGGCCAACAGTTCCTGGTTCCATCCCTGGTTTGATTGGAACCCATGTCTGATCACTGGTTATAGGCCTCACAGATCCTCTCATCCTTTTCCTCCTGGGTCCAATGATTGGACCTTGCCTAAGTTAATAGCTGTTAAACTTGATCAAACAGCAGATAGACTCTGTCAAATTAATGTACCTACCAGTTCAGTACAACCCCCTCACCTGAGGCTATTGAGTGATGGCTTTGACTCTGCCCTAAGACCAGAAGGGAATAAAATGGCAAAGCTAACTCCATTTTATTCTAGCTGACTTTTGCTTTACACTGTTTTTCTGCCCAGCCATTCCCAAGGAAGCCAGCCAGCCATGAAGGCCATGCCTGTAGTTTCAGCGGGTACATTGTTTTCACAATGGAAATCTTCAAATTAGCCCAGTAGCACATCCAAGTAGTACAACCTCTTACCCAGATATACCTGCATCTCCATGAACCCTTTTGTTTCAGCAATACTGAGACACTTGTTTTTCCTAACGAAAACTTTATACTAACTGAAAAACTCTTTGTTAACTGACCTTCCCCTGGTCTGGTGTAACTATGTTGATCTAATGAATCTATGGTTATTGGCTTTGTCCATGGCATGATCTAATTGAGATTTTAAGTTTTATAAGCCCCACTCTGGCTACCATAAAGATCGAAAATTCTTTTTTAATGTTTTATTTATTAATTTTACTTTATGTGTATGCATGTATTGTCTACATGTATGTAAGCGTAACTGTGTCCTGCAATGCCTGAGGACAGAAGAAGCTATTGGATCCCCTGAAACTGGAGTTACAGACAGCTGTTAGCTGCCATGTGGGTGCTGGTACTCGAACCTGGGTCTTCTGCAAGAACAGCCAATGTTCTTAACCACTGAGCCATCTCTCCAGCCCCTAAAGATTGAAAATTCTTTTGAACATTAGCCTCCTCTTGACTGCCAGCTAATAAAGGACTATTTCAACCATCACCGTGTGGCATTCTGCCGTGGCTACTGTTCCAAATTACAGTAACACCATGGTATCAAAGGCCCTGAGAAGATTTGGTGGACATTAGCTCAGTGCCTACAATTCTTGTTTGATTTGTACTCTCTAACACCTCTCAGAACTTTTATGATGATTTTTCCAAACTGTTCTGTTCTACAAAGTAACAGTAGAAATCTAACAAAATTATTCCTCCTCACCTTCTCGGAGATGAGAAACTTTAAGTTTTGTTTTGTTCTTACCTGAGACAGGGTCTCTTGTATCCCAGTCTGGCCTCAAACTCAAGCTTCTGTTTCTTCTGCTTCTACCCATCATGTGCTAGGATTGCTGGCATGTGCCACCACAGCTAATGTAGGCTAGGGATTGAACCCAGGGCTTCATACGTGTTAGACAAGCACTCCACAAGATGAGTCATATCTCCAGATCCAGACAGATTTAATAAAGAGATTAAAGTGTACATCTATTTATCATACTTCATACTTATTAAGGTTCACATAAAGTTGTATAGATACAAATCCTACTGAATTAACATTCTATGGTTGAAATTTGTATTTCCTCAAAGATGATATGTTGAAAGATAATCACTAAGACAATGGGTAAAATTAGAGGACTCTTGGGAGGTGATTATATCATGAAGGTAGTCCTTTTTTTCTTTTATTCATTTTTAATTGAATTTTTGTGTATTTCATACTTAAAAACATCTTTATGTCCCATTCTCCCTTCCCCTTTGACACCCTCCAATACTCCCCCCCCACTGGAGTTCATACATTTTATAATTTGTATTAAGGCCAATTATTTAAAGGTAATGTCCTGAGATATCCCTCAGTGCAGGTTCATCCACCAGGGTTCAGTCAGCATATCTAGAGTCTCTCTCTTCAAGAAGATCAGCTCCTCCTCAACCAGCACCAATCAGCTACCAATAATTCTTTGATTAAGATTGGGGTCTGCTGTTCATTTCCACACTTCTGTGCTGGGTTTTTGTCTGCCTAACTTTGCATGGGTCTTGTGCATGCTGACACTGATGCTGTACATTTGTATGAGAAACGTCCAAGGTGCCTGTAGGGCTGTTTTGTATGATTATGCGCATCCTCCCTAGCTCTTACGATGTTTTTGTCCCCTCTTCCACACACAATGGTCCCTGAGCCCTGGGTGGTTGGAGTAGGAGTCCTGTCCAAGGACCCACATTCTGCTGACGCTTATTCTCTGCATTTTGCCCATTTGTGGCCTTTTACGTTCCTGGCCCTCTGTTGCATAAGTAAGCGTTATTGATAAGAATTGAAAACTGCATTAGTGTTCTCTTCATCCCTGTTCAATGTACTGTGAGTTTTAGGTGTAGAGGTTGTACCCTAAATGTGTCACTTAGACTTGGGAAATTCACAGAGAATCTCTGCGTGTGACCAGTAGTATAATTCTGTAATAATCTCCGTCTGTTGAAAGGAAGCTATTTTGATGGGTGGTGACAGGGATACTTGTCTGTAAATTTAAGAATCCATATTTTGCACAAAGTAAGAAATTACATTCTTCTAGAGATATGAGAGCTTTGGGATTTCTCTAAGATCTATAATCTCTCTGGCTATGTGTATTTGGCTAGTTTATAGTACCAGGCATGAGTTTCCTTCCATTCAGTGGGCTTTAAGACCAATTAAGTAGCTGTTTACCCCCCAAAATAAAAGTGCCACTACTATACCAGTGTCATTTGTTGTGCTGGCCATGGATGTGGTTTTTAGACCTTGAAGCTAGGGTTGGACCATTGATTGATGATCTCCCTTACCAGCTTGCATAGTGCTCTCCAAAGCTATGAGAGCTAGCCTTCAGAGGCTTCCAGGTCAGTTACAGCTCCAGCTCTCTAAATCCTGTGTCCAAAGTATGTCCTATCTTCAACAATAGGGTCTTACCTTCAAGTTCTGGGAGGTAATCAAGGACTGTGTCAATAGCCTGTTCAATTTTGGGAGTCTCTTGGACTACCCTGGCCAAAAACTCAAAGGAAGTTTCTCCTGCCTGGCACTGTTTCTTGATATGTAGTCTTCAGCTATAGTCAGGGACTCATGTAGGGACTCATGTAGTAGGTTTTTGGACTAACAAAATTCCCTCTGGTTTTTTTAGACTAGCTAGTCACTATTTCTTCTCTTTCTCTCTATGTCTTATCCTCCCTCCTGCCCTTCCCATTTAAAGTGTTCCTATTTTCCTCATTTCTCCCTTGATAATTCTTGTATGCTATGGTCCCACCTCTTTTGAGCTATTTCTTCCCCTTTATTCCCAGAATGCTATCAATGATCTAAGTTAAACTCCTGGGTGCTAGCTTATTTCTTTGATCTGGAGAAGGCACAGCAAGAAAAGTGCTATGGAACAGCTGGAAAACAGAACTTCTCCAGACACAGAGCACACCAAGTCCTTGTTCATGGACTTCACAGTCTCCAGAACTTTGAGAAACAAACTCCTTATGTTTATAATCATGCTGTTTGTGGTCTTCTAGTGTCTGTCCAGACACAGTGTGTGAGGTAGCTTCCTACTCCTGATTTGTAGTGTTTCTCTTTTTAGTCTAAAGTGTCTCCCAAGATGCTGTACTTGCAGGGTTCTCAGATGCTGAAGATTCTGGAGAATTCTTTGAGGAAGCACCTCCCTGAGTCCTTAAAGGTGAGTGTGGCATTTTCAGAGAAACTAAGGGTTGCCTCTTCCTGTGATAGAGGACACAAAGAGGACAAGACGTCACTGAACACAGACACTGAGGCAGGAACAGAGGGCTTCCATCACCTATGAGAAAGGAGGCTTTTCATGTGGTGTTCCCAGAGCAGAAATGAGTCTTAGTAATGTCACTTGACTAATATGAAAAAGTTAAAATATTGTTCCTCACTGGCTGAAAAATATCTCACTGTTTACTTTCAAAGATATTTCACAATTATACTGGAAATTTCTCTTCAATGTGTGGCTTCAGGACCATATGTATTTTTAATGTCAGGTGTTTGTACCAAAACTCTTCTTGTAACATAGTATAGGTCAAATTCTATTTAATAAAAAATCCTATAATGGGTAGTGCTTTATTTAAAAAGGAAAACTTGGAAGAGCTGGATGTGTTGGCACACACATTTAATCTGAGCATCTGGGAGGCAGAGGCAGGCAGATCTCTCTGAAATCAAGGCCAGTCTGGTCTACATAGTGAGTTCCAGGCCATCAGAAGCTACAGCGAGGCTCTGTCTCAGAAAAAGGAAAACTTGAAATACTCAAACATTATTGCTTATTTCACTGAAATAATATTTGCTATGAAAGCATTAGAAAATGCATATTTTACTTATTTTAAACTTTAACGTTTTTACATTTTTTTATTTTTATTTTGGTATTCTGATTTTTTGTTTTATTATTTTTTTATTTCTTTTACTTTATAAGATTGATCTCCCTGTAGTCACAACTGGCCAGGAACTTGCTATGAGACTAGGCTAGCCTCGATCTGAAAGAGATTTGCCTGCCTCTGCCTCCTGAGTGCCAGAACTAAAGACTTGCACCACCATGCCAGGCCAAATAGTTATACATTTTAAACCTTCCTCTTTCTAGATCTATGTCAGACAAAGCAACTAAAAAAAAATTTAAATAAGATCAAAATCCTTATTGCATAATACCTAATATGAGTTCAACTAAATAGTGATTTGCTATTCAAGAATCAGGAAGATCTCCCCTCCCCCACCCCGGGAATTGAACCCGGAGCTTTGCACATGCTGGGAAATACTTTCACTGAGCTACATCCCCAACCTCCTTTGATTTTTATTTCGTGAAAGGATCTCACTAAGTTGTGTAGGCTGGCCTTGAGCTCACTATATAGCCCAGGCATTTGAAACTTAAATTCTACTTTTTTGAGCCTCCCAAGTAGGTGGAATTTTAAAACAGCACCACCAAGCCTGGCTACCAACCAGTAAACATGAGTGAGAACAGTGATCCACAGCACCAGCAGCCAGATGAAGCAGTCTAAGATTGGTGTGGCATAGATGTCAAAGCATCAATCATGAAAGTGCTTCTAGGAATCACAAAACACTTCTAATGAGTAACAAAGTATGTATCTCAGCTTTATAAAATTTTTTGTGTGCAAGAAAACAAAGAAATCTGACATCTGCTATGAAAGGAACCTGTCAAATTCCACATCAGGGGAATTTAAGAGTTTTTATTATAATTCATATTGCTCTTGATGTTTTGTCTTATAAATTTTTACAGATACTTTCATTAGAAAAAAATAGCTAGAACCTAAAAACTATTTAGCAAATTTATTACATGCCTTGCCAACATAAAAATTCCATGATTTCATATCCTTGTCCTAGTCAAACACATTGTGTTCTGCCATGTGTTTGAAGTGTGCTGAGCCCCCCCCCACCTTTGTTGAAATGTTACAGGTTTATGGGACTGTCTTCCACATGAACCGGGGAAACCCATTTGAGCTAAAGGCCCTGGTGGACAGATGGCCTGATTTTAACACTGTTGTTATTCGTCCTCAGGAGCAGGTAAGTTGCCAGATGTGGAATAAATATGCCTGGATATTTATATGTTTCATTCCAACCATGGGTCTAGCAATTCGGTGGATCCCACACATAGCCCCTCCTGAGAATCAGGAAAGAATTACACTACTGCCAAACAATATTCTGTCCTGCAAAAGCTCACGCCTTGAGGAAGATTATAGACAAATCCACAAATGTGAATAAAAGTCACAGACTGATGTGAAGTGTTCAGGAAGAGAAATACACACAAGTTATAATACTCACCCAAGGAGAAAGCTGGTAGGAAGTTACTCTCAGATGCCTTCATCATTTTGTTTGGTCTTCAACACCGTCATTTGGGCTGACGTTGACAAGCAAATACACGGAACCATTTCTTGCAACTAGTTTGTGGCCATTAGAGACAGCCAATTAAAAATCATGCCAATTTAAGGTCATGTGAGCATGACATTTTTCTGTAGATACTGAGATAACATTTGGGGAAGCTGGAGAGAGGCTCAGTATTTAAGAGGACTGGTCACTCTTCAAGAAGGCACAGGATCGATTACCAGTGCAGACATGGTGTTTAATAACCATCTGTAACTCCAATTCCAGGGGAATTTGATGCTCTCTAATGACCTCCGTGGGCATTGCCCATCATAGGTTCACTTACATGCATGCAGGCAAGGCACTCATACATAGAATAAAAACAATGAACAGAATACCTAAAAGCGCATTTCTGAGGCTAGGCTTCCATGTTGTAATTATTAAGTTCCTAGCTCCATTGTCTACCATTATGCTACAGGGAAAACATGTTTCCTTTTCTTAAAAATCACTAGACTTGAAGATGCTAACTCATTCCTACTACTTCACAACTTCTCATTATAATTCTGAATTCCAGGGGGCTAGAGAGATGGCTCAGTAGGAAAGAGCACTGGCAGCTCTTGTAGAGGACTGGGGTTCAGGTCCCAGCACCCACATGGTGGCTAAAAACTATCTGTAACTCCAGTTCCAAGTGACCTAATGCCCTCTTCTGACCTCCACATGTTGCATGACATGAGTATACTGACACACATGTAGGGCTCGAGAGAAGACTCAGATGGTTAGGAGCATTGGCTGCCCTTGCAGAGGACCTGGGTTCCATTCCCAGCATGAACATGGCAGCTAACAACCATTCACAACTCAAGTTCCAAGTGACTCAACACCCTCTCTTCTGACTTACACAGGCATTGCAGACATATACCTACATGTGCTTACATACATACAGGCAATATACTCATACACATAAAATAAACATAATAAATAAAATTAATAATTCTGACTTCCCACCAAGATGGCACACTGCCTTGTTGCTGATTACCTATAGTAAAACCAAAAAAAACCATCCAGAGTCTGAGGAGATGGCTCAGTTGGTAACATGTTGTCCTCGCAAGCACAAGGAGCTGAGTTTAATCCCAGCACCCACAAAAAGAAAGCCAGGCATGCTTGGCATGTGCTTGTAATTCTAGCACTGGGGAAGTGGAGACAGGGACAGGCTGGGGTTCGCTGACCAGACAGCCTAGCTTATTATCCTTATCTTTGGTTCCCCATTTTGTAGATGCACATTCTTTTTATAAAGAGAATATCTTTTATTTATTCTTTGACAAATTTGTACATATAAACAATGAATACCCATCAAAGCCACTGCAGCTCCCCCCTCATTCCTTCCAGATACAACGAACATGTCCCCCTTTATCTTTCATGCCTTTTTTTTTCTTTTGTAGCCCATTCAGTCCAATTAGTGGTGCCTTCTGAAATGTTAACTGATCTTGTATAGGTGTTGCCATGGTAACCATAGCTGCAATGGGCTCATGGGTGTAATGGCCATGTCATGTCCAGGAGACAGCATTTCACAGCATTCCTCTCCATCCTCTAGCTCTTACATTCTTTCCACCCCTACTGTGGCGTCCTCTGAGCCTTAGAGGAGAGTGAGGAGGTTGACAAGAGTTGTCCCACTCAGCACTCCATACTCACTTTTTCATCACTTTGGCCAGTTCTGAAACTGCATCAGCTGCTGACCATTGCAGAGAGAAGCTTCTCTGGCCAAGGTTGAGGGCAACACTTATCCATGGGTATAAACACAAATACTTAGAAGGAAGTTTGACAATAGGTCCTTTAAACAAGAAAACAGTAGTAGCATCCCTCGTAGGGCCTATGACCTACCAAGCCATTGGCTTTTGACAAGGTTTGTAGCACCATGCATGAATTCTGTCCTTGGCACAGGGCTCAAATCCAGTGATAAAATAGGTGGCTGGTTACCTACATAATCCTTAAGCCACTTTTGCACTAGTGAGTGGCATCTTGCCTAGCAGGTAGCTATAGTGACATGCAGGGTTCACCACTGGGTAAATACATTTGATGACTTTTCTCTCCCAGTGGTTTGCAAAGCACCTTCCAGAACTGTGGAAACTATAAAGCCAGAAGGAAGCTGCCAGGTCAGTTCCAGCTTGATTTTCTCTATGTCCTGCAACCACAGTGTTGGATAAATATTCTACTATTGTACCCAAATGGATTTTATTTTTATTTAATATTTTTATTGAAATTTTTTGCATTTCATATAAGACCTTAATGAGATTAAATTCTCTCTCCACTCCTCACCTTCAGTACAACCCACCACCACTAGATTTCAGGTATTCTGTCAAATATATTAAGCCCTATCTGGTCAAGGATTTGTACTGTCTAGAACATCTCCCTTAAGGAAGATCTACTCTCCCTCACCACACTGGAATCTTTTGCCAATAGTTCTTTGGCTAGGATTGGGGCCTGCTGCCCATTTCCCTTGCTCTATTCTGGGTTGTTGTATTGCTGAGTTTTCATGTCTTGTGCATGCTGTTAATAGTTCACATGAGCAAGTTTACAGAGGCCAGAAAGCCTATTTCCTTATGTTCATGCACCAGCCCTGACTATTATAATCTTTCTGTTCCCTATTCCACAAAGGGCCCTAAGCCATGGGTGGGTAAGATTTAGTATAAGAGTCCTATCCAGGGACATACACTCTACAATATCTTGTTCTCTAAAACATAGCTAGTTGTGGCCTTCTGTGTGCATCACACTCTGCTGTATGAAGGAACTTTGCAGATGAGAGTTGAGGGATGTATGTTATTTGGGGAGTTTCTTGGGCTACCCTGACCAATAACTCAAAGGGAGGTTTCTCCTGTCTGGCACTATGTTTCTTGATATATAGCCTTCAGGTATACACACGCACTCATGTTCAAACACTGAATGTGTATTTTTCAGGGGGGGGTGAGTTAATACATTTCCCTCTGGCTTTTTACAGCACCCTGTATGAATTTTATACAAGTGTTAAAAGCCGAGATCAATAAGTAGTCTTTCAAGTAAATACTTTGCTTTTCGTTTGTTATTTGGACTCTTCTATGTGAATTTTATGAGATTATATAAAAGTTATGTTAAATAGTCTTTATTTTCTAAAAACAAAGCTGAAATATAGTATTTTCAGATGATTTTGCTTGTAATTGAATGAGAGTCTTTCTCTGGACTTCGTATTGTAAATGATTACTGTGTAAAAAATACAGAGAATGCTGATATTTGTAAAGCTCACAGTATAAGCAAATCCTGAAAACTAGTATGGCAAACACCAGAGTACCCACATACATTTTGGTTGATTCTTCTTTTCTAAACCAAACAGAACATGACAGATGACCTTGATCACTACACCAACACTTATCTAATATATGCCAAGAATCCCAAGAGCTGTCAGGAATTCCTTGGCTCATCAGAAGTCATCAACTGGAAACAACATTTGCAGATTCAAAGTAAGAGAACTGATGTGCACACTGGCTTCTGGAACCTTCTGTGTACACATGGGTGGGGCCACTGTTCTCTTGAACAAACACCTTACACCACATATACCCTTCCTGCAAACCACGGACAACCAGCCTGCTGCTGCTTGTTCCCTGGCCTAGTATCCACCACCTCCAAATGGAGCACATAGGAATCACAGTAAGTTTACATAGGAAATCATAATACAATCTCATACCACCTAAGGATTTATGGTTTATTCTCTCATTAGCACAGAATTTATAAGATAACATAAGTATGGAAGCAGTGCATCCCACCATCCCATGTCTGCTTTGTCACACTGCCAAATTTACAAAGAAACATTTTAGTGAATCAGAATATGCTTTCTGGAGTTGATGATGTAAGACTAAAGCATGGCTGGACCAGTTATTAGCAGTGTGATCAAGGGACAGTCATTCCTGTAATGGAAATCAGTACTTTTGTGAGTAAATGTGGTTATAATAGTACTCCACACACAGAGAGTCCTTAAGGGCTAAGTGATATATTTGCTGGAAAATTGCTAGCAATATCTTAGTTTTATTATATTTTCAAACACTTTTAGTATCCATACAAAGAGAATCATTTTATAGGTCACAATTGTGTGGGCTAGAAATTTGGACTAGGCTCAGCTGGATGGCTCAGTCAACTGGAAGGTTTTCTGTGAACTGTCAGCACCATGTCTATCATGATCTGAAGTCTGGTCATCTGTAATAACATTGTGCTAGCTCTTAACTACAGGGATGGAAGTGGACTGGGCACCACAAAACATGTCACAAGGATCTCAGGAACAGAAAGTGAAAGCCAACCCCAGTGCACACGTTGAAACATGTTTACTGGGGCACATTTGTTCCATTTATCTAGGTAACTTTCCCAGTTCAACCAGAGCCAATTCAGGGGAGAAAATCCTATCAGTGAAAAAGGAAGACGCAATCTAGTGGGCTGAGTACATAAAAATTGTTCATGCAGTTTCAGTTACTAGTCTATAAGTCATTTTCTTTGGTAGGTATAGCTATACTCTGATGTGGCTAGGATTTCTAGTATTACCCAAAATTTAAATTTTCAAAAAAACATGGAAGGGATGTAAACTTTATTCTGCAAAGCTTGTTATGATTTAACACAAGGTTGATGATTATGTAGCCACATAACCTCTGACACCCCTGGGCAGGCTATCCCAAATGTTAAAATGATTAATGAGATCACCTCTGCTTTCTCATTTTCACCATCAAGGTTCCCAGTCAAGCCTGGACAAGGTGATAGAAAATCTTGTAACCACTAATTCGGGTAAAGTCAAACATAAGCAATGCTTTCTCTATATGATATTCGAAACAGCAAAGAAGTTGCTTCCTTCCCTGGTGGATGAAAAGGACTTAGCACTCAATCTTAACATGCCTAAGATCATGTAAGTATGGTAGAAGCTATTCTGTACCTTTAACTCCACTCATTAATGATGTACCCACTGCATCAGATGTTGAGAGCTGCCATAATAAGCTCAGCATAAAACATAGGGCCCAAACCAATAGACATTTCATTTATCATAGGTTTGAAGTCCAGAAGGCCAAAATCAAGATATAGCTATGGTGGTTCTCCCTCAAAAGACCTCAGGAGAGAATCCCTCCTGGACTCATCTAAGTTCCAGTGCCTCTCTTGTAATAGGGCACCTTCTTGACCACAGCTACACCATGTTTAAGTTTATGCTGATTCTAGTGTCTGAAATTACCAGGCAGTTGACCTAGGGTATGAGAACACATATAAGCAAGACAAAGACCTCAGGAGAGAATCCCTCCTGGACTCATCTAAGTTCCAGTGCTTCTCTTGTAATAGGGCACCTTCTTGACCACAGCTACACCATGTTAAGTTTATGCTGATTCTAGTCTCTGAAATTACCAGGCAGTTGACCTAGGGTATGAGAACACATATAAGCAAGACCCAGTAGGTCAGTGTGTCCCAGAGTGCACCTGCTAAGAACAGATTATGGCTTCTGTAGGTTATGCTTGGCTTGCTTCTGCAAAATAGTAATTGTTGATTATTGGAATAGAAATTGTTAAGGGGGCTCTCCACCTGTAAGCTTGGGAACTTAAAGTTTTCACCTCTGGTTATCCTTTCTCCATATAAAAGCTTACCCTAGAGACAGCTTGGGGCTATACACTTAGATTCCAACACCCTTGTGTAGGAACAACTTTCATTCAGCCACACAACTTTATCTGAGTGGTCTTCTCTGGTGAAGCACCCCACAACACTCTAGATATGGTTTGGACTTGGGATGCATCACTCTACTGTCTGTTTTTTCCTCCTTATTTTAAGGATACAGACTACTAGAGAGAATCCACAAAATACTCAAGATGGTCTTATATTGAGATCCTAAACTAATATGTACACAGATTCTTTTTCCAAACAAGATTGTCTGTCCAAGGAGACAACAAGGTGGTTCAGTGGTCAAAGGCATTTGGCTATTTTGCTTAGGGCATCTCTTTAAGGAAACTTATTGTCTCAGAAAATTTTTCTTTCAAGATTTAGCATACCTGAGCTCCTCAACTGGAAAGATTATGGCCAATGCCAAGTTAAAACTGAAAATCTTGCTTATAGCATATTTGCTGTTTGTTAGGCAAAGATTCTAATCCCCTGCTATGCTGAATCTATACACATTACCATTCTGTAATGCAGGCATGTTTATTAGCCCTAGCCACTAGATGAGGAACTGCACAAAGTGAAGATTAATTAATGACCAGAGTCATACACATGGCAAGGACAGGAACCCAGGCAGTCTGGAGGCAGAACATACATCCTTAGGTATTCTACTTTGTGCCCCTCAGGAAAATTTAGGGGAAAAATAAATGTAATACTTCACAGTCTAGCTTTACAGACTGTTCTCTTCTCTTGCATCCAACAGCAACAAAGATATGTTTAAACTCACATCCCTGGATGTTAAGCATGCTTCCTTGGTGAATAATGTCTGGTATTTTGGTGGCAATGAGAGAAGCCAGAAGTTCATCGAACACTGTATCCGCACCTTCCCCAGCGTCTGTCTGCTGGGGCCTGATGGGACACCAGTGTCCTGGGCCCTGATGGACCACACTGGAGAACTGAGAATGGCAGGCACTCTGCCTGAATACCGGGGCCAGGGTCTCATTCACTATGTTGCTATTTGTCAGATCCAGTCTCTGGGAAACCTTGGCTTTCCCATGTATGCCCACACAGACAAGGCCAATCTCACTGTGCAGAGAATGGCTGCTGTCCTGAAACATGTCCCCATGCCCTGTGAGTGGAACCAGTGGAACTATGTGCCTCTGTAATGCTGGTGCTACAGCGAAAGAGGGTGATGAGGGGGCTATCTATGTGGTTGGAGAAGCAGCTGGGTGAACAGAGGGAAGAAATAAATTGTAATTAAGCAGACACAGAAAGCTGGGATGCATCATGAACTATGAACACTGGTCCCTGCTCTCAAATAACGAATGCACTTCATCCATTTACATGGTATGAAATAGATCAAGTTATTCTGCTCCCAGTCTGGCAGAGCACCCTTGTTCTCAGGATCCCTGTAGCACTTTGTACTTAGTTGCATTCTTTTCTGTTCCACTCTCATTGACCATTGGCCAGGAGTCATGTTCTGTGATCTTCCTGCCCTCTCTAGCTTTATCATTCTTTTCTAGGTCACTTCCTAGATGTTGTATTGTTATCTGAAATGTATTATACATACACAATGTATTGCACATGCACAATGTGTGTGGGACAACTTTTAGAATTATTAAGAAAAAGACTGGCACAGGAGCAAATGTACTGTTTGGCCAACCCTGGCAATGGAAGTCTAATCCCTGGGACCCAATGGGGGAAGGAGAGTACCAATTCCCTCACATTTCCTCCGACCTCCACTGGTGCATTGTGGCATGCACTCACCCACCCCAACATACACACCACAAATAAATAATAAATAGATGATAGATGATGGATAGATAGAGATAAATAGATGATAGATAGATGAATTCATTCAATAACAAAGTAATTTATAAATTTTAAAGAACAGAAAATGGCTAATGCTCTTTTGAGACTACCTTTAATATATTTTAAATGAGTTACCAATAGTAATTCAGTAAAGAAAATTTGGCGCTGCTTCTAAAGGCTGAGCTTTGTCACTCCATTCTAATGTTTATATTAAAACAAACCTAATCTTTGTTTATGGAATCGTGAACTCTGGGGCAGTGCAGGGAGAAGAGGAAAGAGAACACTCAGACTACAAGTAGATATTATATTGGAAAAACAGAGAAATGAGGCAGGGAAGGGAAGCAGGACGAAGGGACAGAGGGAAGAGAAGGAGAGAGATGGAGAGGGGAATCTGGGAGCAGGTGAGAGAGAGAGAAGCTCATGAATCTCCGGTTGGAAAAAGATCATCTTAAGTAGAGAAGATGAATGTGTTTTCAATATCATTAAGTATGTTCAAATAAATGCTTCCTAATGAACTCATTGCCAATAACAACCACCTCCTGTGGTGGGAATTCCTCTCTTAGTTCTTCCACACAGGCCTCAAAGCCTTCCAGTATTTGCACTATGCCTCCAAGCAATTATTTAAGATTATTTTTCAAAGTGTTCACTCAGTTTCCTGGGAATGACAGGATACTTCCTTTTGATGAAAGCAACAGGAACATAAGCTAAGACAGGTGCCTTTCAGAGGTTTGGATCCTAACCATTAGTACCACTTACCACTCCTCTATAAGCAATTAAGTTCTCAGTGTCTATGTTTTTTAAATCTCTCTCTCTCTCTCTCTTTCTCCTCTCCCTCATTCCCTCCCTCTCCTCTCTGTCCTGTGTGTGTATGTGTGTGTATGTGTGTGTGTGTGTGTGTGTGTGTATGTGTGTGTTTGTACAGGGTTTTCACATGCCATGATGCATGTTTGGAGGTCAGAGGACAACCTCCAGTGCTGATTCTTGCCTTGCCTTCCATCTTACTTGAGGCAGAATCTCTTTGTAGTTTTTATTTTCTATACACCTGATTAGCTCACTCAAAAGCTTCTGGGGATTGTCTTGTAGACACCAGCCCTATCTCCCTATAGCAGTGCTTGGATTACAGACACATGTACTACCCTGGCTGTCTTTATGTGATGTAGCTAAAATTCCTTCTGGAGTTGTGAAAACAACCTCTGCATCCAACCCCCTTGATCACTATGACAAACCAAGGTATGATTTTGTCAAGCTACAGTCAGGGAAACCAGTGAATTTATCAGGCTTACTTATAGAGTAATGTATGAGGGTTTCCTTACAAGAGTGTGGGTGCTCCACTCCTAAGGCCAAACTGGAAAGTCTTCAATCCAGCATGAATGGTGACTTCTCCACAGCTGCACAAAATGTCAAGAACACTACCCCCCTGGGCTTCCTCAGTTTATATACCCTTAGCTCCCCCCCCATGCAGCTAGGGAAGACTGATTGGTTGGAGGCATGACTGACATGCCCTGCCCCTCCTTTCTTACAGAGCCTAACAATCAACAAACTTAACTGTGATAATCCTAGGCAAGTGGGTGCAACCAAGCTTGGAAAGATGGCATCCGTCTATGGTCTGTCTGAGAACAATCCTATGCAACACTCCACCCCTTCCTCAGGCTCTTGCATTCTTTCTACCATCCTCTTCTGCAAGAGTCCTTGAGCCTTGGAGGGGGTGACCTAGATGTAGGACAAACTTCCTCCCACTGTGGTGAGATACTGAACCCTTGGGTCTTTTCATTATCTGATTTCAGGACTTGGCTGTTGGCCCATCTTGTAATATCCTATAAGTAGGTATTCCTCCTACTATAAAAACACAAATAAAAAGAAGGAAGCAGTAAATGAGAAAACATCTAAACAAATATTGACTGCAATCATTACCTATGTACATAAACACAAATGCTTGGAAAGCTTCTTATCATGTGCATCACATCCATCTAACAAAAGTATTTCAGTGGCCTATAATATACCCTGCCACCAGGGGTTTGCCTGGCTTGTAGTACCAGACTTTCATTCCTCCCCTAAGAGACAGCTTTAAATCCAATTGGAAAATTTTTGGTTGTGCATACACTTGTCATGCCATATTACACTGGCAGGCACATTGCCCTTGGCATGTTGATAATGCACCATCCTGGACTGTTGGGAGAAATTCTCCCCCAGTGATCTGCATAGTGCCTTCTTGCACTATGACCACTAGTCACTTGGCTGGCAGGGAGTTTCCAACTTAATTATAGCTTTATTTCTCCCTTTCCAGTGTTTACAGCATGTTGTGTCTTCTCAATAGGGTCTTACCATCTAGTTCTGGCATCCAACCAATGTTACTGGTGATAACTTTATCATTTGGGGATCCTCGGTGGCCTCCCTGGTCAACACTCATGGAGGGACAACCCATCACTGACATTGGGATTTTCACTTAACAATCATACAGTTTCTTGAAGCCTCTGTTCTTATTTCCATAAGATATCTTTGTTTATTCTTTGGCATTTACATGCCCAGGCTGTTATAGACTTTTCTCAACCATCCTGGTGGGTATCACTTGTTCCTTACCCAACCAGAAAGTTCCCCAAAATTTCAAAGCTGCACCAGGGCCTTGTATCCCTTGTGAATCTTCTTCATCCTTGTTTCCTTGGGTGTACTTGATATCTCTCAAATGTGTTTCCACATCTTCAAAACACTCAGATGTTAACACTTATTCTACATCAAGAATAAACAAGGTATAACACAACATGGAAAGATTTTATCCATTTGTATCAATTGTTCTCTCAACAGACCCATATTCTGGGTACAATAGTATGGATAAGAGCCACTAATTTAGTTAGCTTTTTATAATCTTTGGTCATTTTATGAACCATTCTATTTCCATGTCTTGGAGCTCTTACCTGAAGTGTCCTTGCATTTATCCATTCCTGATGAACCTGCTGGGAATACATCAAGCTGCTTGCCTCTGCCAAGGTCCAAGGAGGAATTGGGCCCCATTCATGCCTGTTGCACCTGTTGGTTCCCTGGGTCAGATAGGCCCTGGGTCTGCCCATGGCTATAGCCATATCTGTTGCCTCTCTGTTGATCACACCTGGCTGGCTGGGGGAGGCCCTGGCTTGGCACTCCTAGCATACCCTTTCTCAGGAGGAAAATGTATGCTGTTTAAACTGGGGGATCATTATCTACCCCTGGTACAATTTTGTCATCTGTACCAGTATTATTTAATCATGGGTATATTCTGTGAGCTGTTCCTCAGGTTTTAAAGCCAGCCAGAAGCTTCTTAGCACAGAACTTGTTTTTTTGTCAATTTTTTTCTTTAGGAACTTGGGCTCGACACAAATCTTGCCACATCTGTCTTCAAGTGACCCAAACAGACTTCTTTCTCAACTTTGCCTTTCTCCTATCTCCTGTAGGTTGCTCTACTTTTTTATGCACACACTTTACATGCAGTTCTTAGTCACTTAGGTCTTCAAAAGCCTGTTCATCTTCATAAAGATTCTGCTTCATTAAGGGACTAAGGAAAGCCATTAAAGCTCCATACCAATTCCAAAGTCCCTGCTGAATCAAGTTCTTCTTTAAATCTCTGTTGAATACAGTCCTATCTGGTCCAGTGAATTTACCATCACGCATTGCTTTCCTCAAGCCTAGTTCCCTCAGTACTGCCTGCCACTCCTCTGTTGTTCTCCTGATAGTCAATGAAACTTTCACTGGTGATGACCAAGTATCTTTAATGGCTCATAAAGACCAGTTCATCGAGGAATGATTCTGCTTGTACTGCCTCAGGTTATGCAGTCTATGTCTCAAAGAAGGACATGTAGTTATATTGCCCAACTTCTCTGATTCTTCAGCACTTAAACTAATTCAACCTGCCCCCATGTCCCACAGTCTGACAAGTCAGGTGATGAGGGGTTCCTTCATTGCTTGTTCGAATGTCTTCCCCAGTTTCAATAGTTCCAGTGTTAAGTTGAATAAGCTCTCTTATTACCATACCCTCACACCAGACTGTTATTCAGGCCTCCATCAGCATGCTGGACCATGGGTTTTTCCTTTGTATTAAAGCTCAAACTCAAGGGGCATCTTTAGCTATTCCTAAGTTTCTCCCTTCCTCATCACTACCTGCCTCCTTCCATGGGTTCCAGGTTTTAGGGTCCCAGTACAAGTCTTGTATTATTAGTCTAATCTGGGCTCTCTTCTCTTTTGGGCCCCCAAGCTCTAAAAAAAAGGTAGGCTAGGACCTCTATCTCTTTAAAAAAAATTTTTTTTGATTTTTAATGTGTATGGGTATTATGCCTGCATGTATGTAAAAGCACCTGTGTTGTACAATGCCTGTAGAGTACAGAAGTGGGCAATGGATCCCCTGGAACTGGAGTTACAGACTATTGTTAGCTGACTTGTGGGTGCTGGGATTCAAATCCAGGTCTTCTGCAAGAACAGCTGGTGCTCTTTACTGCTGAGCCATCTCTCCAGCCCTCATTGTTTTCCTTTTTAAATATGTTTTTATTAAATTTTTGAGAATTTCATACAAAACAACCCAAAACCAGAAAGACAAACTTCATATTCTCGCCTATAAGTGGATTCTACCTTTGAATCTTAAAATATGTGTTTTTAATGGAAAAATCCATAGAGATCAGACAAGGAAGTATATTCTTGGTTTTTTTTTTTTTTTTTTGGTTTTTTTTTTTTTTTTTTTTTGTTTTTTTTTTTTTTTTTTGGCTTTTTTGTTTGTTTGTTTGTTTGTTTTTGTCTTTTTGAGACAGAGTCTCCCCAGCTGGCCTGGAACTCACTATGTAGATCAGGTTGGCCTTGAACTCACAGAGCTCTGCCTGCCTTTGCCTCAGGATTAAAGGCATGTGCCACCACTCCCAGCTTAGTAGAGTTTCTTTTCAAAACTAACTTTAGTTTCACTGTTTCAGTGTTTCGGTGTTTTGCCTGCCTATATGTTAAGTGTACACATGCATGCAATGCCTGCAAAGACCCAAAAGACAGCGGCAGATTCCCTAGAATTGGAGTTACACATGGTTGTTATCCTCTATGTTATATGTTCCTCTATGAGGAACCAAACCAAGTTCCCCTGCAAGAGGACCCAGGGCTCTGAACTGCTGAGCCATCTTTCCATCCCTCCTAACATACTCTTAATAACAGATTTAAACATGTGAAAAATGGATTGCTGTAGATGAGGAACAGCTGATCCTCCTGGAACAGGGACCTCTAGCTGACTAGATTTATCAGAAGGGCAGACAGGGGGGAATGGGTGAGGGTGCTGACAGCACAGTGGACAGTGACAGGGATGGCAGAGTATGGAGCCTCTAGTGGGAGAGGAAGGCTGTCTATCTGATGAGTTTGTATTCATGCTCAGATGCCGAGGAGCTCAGAAGGTGGGTGACTGTGACCAGTGATAGTCATGTATATAGAGATTAGAAATGCATGTGAAAATGTCTCAATATCAATTGCCTTGGAGTGAATTCTTCTGTATGAAACTGTGTGTTTTGACAATGAAGTGGAGATCTTTTTTAAAACATTGGAACCTCAATTTAAAAAAATAAAGAAAGAAAAGAACACCTAAAAAAAAAATGTAGGAAACGGCATATTTTTAAATGAAATGGAGATCTTCTTTAGAGGGTAAAAATTCATTCAGTCTTATGTCTTGCAGGGTTTATATTGAGTTCAATATTGTATAACTGTATTAATTCAACTGTGAATCTAAAAATTTACAGCCACTTTTGAAAGAGATGTATCCTTGCTGTGGAAATTGTTACTGAATATGTTAAAGCTGAAATGAAATAAAAAAAAAAACATGTGAAATCTGACTGTATCTGGAAATTCTGTAAATGGTACAGGACATGTGTAAATAAGCTGTGTTTCAAAACTACAGGGAGAATTAGAAAATATTTTTTAAATATATTGATTCGTTCAAGAATTGCATATAATTTATTTTGGTCATATTTATATCCCTTTCCCCATTTCCACCCTCAGTTTATATCAACCCCCCAACTTTATGTTTTTGATTATTTTATGTTTTTATTATTTTTTTAAAAATTTAAAGTCTTATTGACTCTAATCTGTGTATCACAAGTGTCATAGATGTGTGTATATCTGGTGTGTCAGCTGGTAGGAAATATTTTAATCGAATGACTATAAAAATGAAATTTATTGGGATTGGAGATATGGCTCAGCGGTTAAAAGCACTGACTGCTCTTGCAGAGGACCCGGGTTCGATTCCCAGCACCCACATGGCGGCTACAAACCGTCCTTAACTCCAGTTCCAGGGGAATCCAACACCCTCTTCTGATCTCCACGGCATTGCATGACACGGGTGCACTGCCATACATGCAGGCAATACACTGGTACACATAAAATAAAAATAATAAATAAAATAAAATAAAATAAAAAAGAGCATTGACTACTCTTGCAGAGGACCCGTGTTCAATTCACAGCACCCACATGGTGGCTAACAACCATCCATAACTCCACTTCCAGGGTTCCAATGCCTTCTTCTGACCTCCCGCAGCATTGCACAACATGGATGCACTTTCACAAATGTGGGCAATACACTCATATACATAAAAACAAAATAAAATAAATAAAATATTTTTATAAAAGAAAATACAATGTATCAAAATTTATGGAATACAACAATGCAGTATAAGTATAAAACATACAACTTTATCAGTGGTAAATACAGAACATTGCCTGATAATACTTATGAAGGAGTCTTATGTCAATGCTTAAATGTATATTTAAAAATTAAAAACAACATACAGCAAATCAACTCTAAGGTAAACAACAAAAAGGAAATTTTAGACTAAGAGCAGAAAACAATGAATGTGAATGGAGAAAATAATCAAAGAGCTCAACATCTGATTCTTGAAGAAGTTTGATACTATTGATAAATCTAAAATATGAATCAAGCTAAATTCAAAGTTATGGACTATTGACTGGGAGAGGAAACTTGAAAACAACAGAAAGAACTGTGGCATGCCTATATTCTTTGCTCTTATTCACTTCTACAATATGAGAGACAGAGAGAGAAAGAAAGAGAAAGAGAGAGCACACAGGGGAGCACAAAGAAAGTAAAAATGCAGAGTTCAGTGAGGAAAGAGGCATGAGTATTTTTTGAAGTTTCGAAAAGGCAGGTGCAGAGAAAGCAGCTGTAGTTGTTAAGATAATGTCATGAGGAAGTAAACTTTCATTTTTGCACTGGGACAATAGGAAAGGTGCTCTGAGAACAAGGTCTCATCCATTGAAGGCTCTAGCTTGTAAAAATACAAAGTTACTGAAAAAGAGAGAGGCTGAACCAAAAAAGCTATTGAAAGTTTTCTTTACTAAAAACATAACCATAAAAGGAAGTGTTTTTCTTGGGTTCTAATGGCAAGGTATTAAAAAACCACTACAGTTGTGGTAGAAGGAGGTCAAGCTTCATACACCTCAAGGGTTCGGCAGAACTTGGCCTATCATTCATGTGGTTCTGATTTTGCAGGAATGTAAAAGTGAAGGAATCATAAGAGTCTTGAACTAAGGATCCAGAAAGATGCCCAGGCCAGGCAACATGTGGCAGGTTCAACTTCCTTGCAAAGAGGTCCTGAGAAAGTATGGCATGAAGCTGTGGAGGTGAAGCCTCAGTTGTAATAGAGACCCAAAGATCTTAGAGACGACAGGACTGTCTTCCAAGGAAAGCCACAGGCATCAAATGAGCCTGGCCCAAGAGAAAGTTTATATGTGCTGCAGATGGTTGAGCTGGAGAAGCTG